TTTAATCAAGCATTTAAGTAATCACTGAAAGAAATTTCTCAGTCTTAACTTCTTTTTCCTCTTTTGTTATAACAAAATTTGCTCCCTGCTTTCTCTATCTTAATTAGAGCAATTATTTGATAAAGATATAAGTAGGGAAAATTCCTACACTGAAGGAAGAGAGTAGAGAGGATATACAGGGGCTTGGTGGGATGTCACCAGGATGTGGAGTGCCTTCACAAGTGTATTGAGGAATTTAGTAACACACACACACACACACACACACACACACACACACACACACACACATTTTGTGTGAAGATGTCTATCATGTAGGCAGTCATGATAGAGAAATATTAGTGACTCCTACAATCCATGTTGCCAAAACAATGGCTATGGCTTCAACAGCTTTTTGCCATTTGCCCAGAAATACAAAGCCTTCCTGGACAAAGCCCAGTAGGACACTTGATAAGGTTCAGCTGGAGTAGGACAGACTTTTACCATTTTCTGCCATCCTTGGTGCATATGTCTTTTACCTTGTTGGACTTATAAACACACATACTGTCTCTCTGTTACACATTGTTATTAGCAATGTTGGATTTATTTGGTACTCTTTCATCTAACTTAAATAAAAGAGCATTAGAAACATCTGTGTCCTCATAAAAAAAGAAAGAAGCTGTTGGAACTTCTCTTTCTGCTTCTGGTGTTTCCTCCTTTTCCACTTACCCAGAATGCTAGATCTTTATAGAGCTGTATTTTTTTTTTTTTGAAGTGATATTTACAGAAACATTCAGCAGTCCCCTGAGGATAAAGTCCATACTACTAATTCTGACACGACAGGCAGATTTATGGCTCCGTCCCCCCTATCCAGCTGTATTTCCCACAACTGCTCAGCATACACTCTGTGCCCAAGTGGGGCTACTCTGCTCCTGCCTCAGTCCCTTCTCCTGGTCTTGGTGGCATTCTTCATGCTCTTCCCTCTTCTCGGCCTCTTTTTTCTGTTCCTTTTTCTTTATCCAAATCCATTCCGCTTCTCTGTCTTCTCCATGAAACCTTACCAGGCCTCTCCAGCTCATGCTAAATTTCAATAGCATGCTATGAACAACTGGCTTATTTGCAGAGTGTTACCTATGAAAATATGAAGTACGGTGAGGTTTAGGCAAGACTAGGGGCTGGGTCTTCTGAGTAGGTTCTGTCCATTGGATCACCTGCCTTTGTGCCATTTTTTTTTCTCTCTCTCAATTTAATAAACTTTTTTTTTGAGTACTTTTAGGTTCACGGCAAAATTGAACAAGTACAGAGAGTTCCCATGTACCCCCATCCCACACACGTACAATCTCCCCCACTGTCTACATCATTCACCAAACTAGTACACTTGTTAAATCAAAGAACCTACACTGACATATCATTATCACCCAAAGTCCATAGTTTACATTAGGGTTCACTCTCAGTGTGGTACATTTATTGGTCTTGACAAATGTATAATGACATGTATCCACCACTGTAGTGTCATACAGAAGAGTTTCACTGTCCTAAAAATCCCCTGTGCTCCTCCTGTTCATCTTTCCCTCCCTCCCCACTGAACCTTGATCTTTTATTGATCAGTGACAACCACTGATCTTTTTACTGTCTCCACAGTTTTGCCTTTTCCAGAATGTCATATAGTTAAAATCAAATAGTACGTAGCCTTTCAGGTTGACTTCTTTCACTTAGTAATATGCACTTAAGTGCCCTTCATGGCTTGATAGCTCATTCTTTTTTAGTGCTGAATAATATTCCATTATGTGGATGTACGATTGTTTATCCATTCATCTACTAAAGGACATCTTGGTTGTTTTCAAGTTTTGGTAATTACATATAAAACAACTATAAACATAACATATGCAGGGTTTTTTGGTAGATATAAGTTTTCAAATCCTTGGGGTAAATATCAAGGAGCACAACTGTTTGATTGTTTGGTAAGAGTATGTTTAGTTTTATAAGAAGTTGCCAAAGTGCCTTCCAAAGTAGCTGTATTATTTTGTATTCCCGTCAGCAATCAATGAATGAGAGTCCCTGTTGCCCCACATCCTTACCAGCATTTGGTATGGTCAGTGTTTTGGACTTTGGCCATTCTAATAGGTATGCAGGGATACCTCAGTGTTGTTTTAATTTGTATTCCCTAATGATATATGACATGAAGCATCTTTTCATATGCTTACTTGCCATATGTGTATTTTCTTTGGTGAGGTGTCTGTTCAGATTGCCCATTTTTTTAATGAGATAGTTTGTTTTCTTATTGTTGAGTTTTAAGAGTTCTTTGTGTATATTAGGTTCTAGTCCTTTATGAGATGTGTGTTTCGCAAATATTTTCTCCCAGTCTGTGGCTTGTCTTCTTATTCTTTAGATTTCGTTCTTTTTTGATTTGTATTTCTCAGCTTTTCTCTTTTTTTCTCCCTTTCTTTCACCTGTGTGGAACATATCCAGTCTTTTCACAATTAATCAAAACAAAACAAAACTCCCAAATGCCACAGTATCAAATGAAAAGAGATCTGCATTCATTATTAGGATAATTCTCAGAGGGTTTGGGGATATTATAGACCAAGATTTGAGAAAGGAAAAAAATTAATCTAGCTAGCTCATCAAGGAAAATAATGATAAATTATTTTTAAATTAAATTAAAATAATCGAAAAGCACATATGATATTGAGGTAGGAAGTTGGCAAGAAATATAAACTTGGGAGATAAGAAATTTAGAAATGATAAAGGATACATAAACTTATGAAGAGAGAAAAACAGTGCTTAAGTCTCTGAAGAGGCCTTCACCTCTCGACTAGAAGAAATACTTCTTTTATGAAAGTTGAGACAAAGCCACAAGATGCCCAGCTAAAGCCACACATTGGATTAAGAGGGGAGGCCGCCAGGACCACATTTCAAAGGGCATATTCAGTGAAGTTTCACCAAGGGACTGCAAAAAATGTTATTTGCAAAAAATGTTTTCCAATCATTCTGTTAAATGTCAAGAAATTTCTCTGAAGATGAAGGAATTGCTTCCTTGAGAAAGAACAGAGAATGTAAAGAACCTAAAAAGAAAAAAACTCCCTGTCCACGCATATCACATTAGTCTAAAAGATTCCAGAATTGAGCTCCCTGATTCCATTTTGTCATCCCTCCTTCCCTAATAAGTAGAAAAACAAAGTTGGATTCTGGTGATAGGTAGAGTTAGGATCAGATTCTTCTCACTCTCTTAAAATCAACATGAAAAAGGAAAACAAAGGTCTTTTAAGACTCCCTTTACATTTGGTAGTTAATGGTAACTTATGACTATGTTTTTAACTTTCTTTTGTTGAGTCATGGACTCTCCTCCTCCCCCACTCCTCAGTTTTCAGGGTCAACAGGCAACCTTTTATAAATCACAAGACTGGATTTGCTATGTTTGGTCCTGATCCAGCTTCTTTATTATCCCTGCTGTTGTGCACTACACAGTTCTGTAGACACACTAGATAAAATGGAGAAACAAAACCAGGAGATCATTCCCAGACTGTTTGCCAACTGATTTTAAACTGTTGCTCACTGCTAGTACACAAAATAATGAATGGTCTTTTATTTATGAGGCTTTTAAAATAGAAATCCTGGGGCAGGGGAGGATTTCTGGTTCTGTTAACCTCATTTGTTCTTCCTTTGCCTCAGCTTCCTAGTCTGTTCAGGAAGAATTTTGTTTTCTTCTCTAATTCTACTGACTGCAAAATGCCTTGAGTATATTTCCTCCATTTCATCCTAACACAGAAAGAAAGAGGAAGAATATATGTATGATCATGTACAATAATCTTCCAGATCTTGCTTCCAGAATTTCTTAGTCTTAAATTATAATGTCTCAGGAAATCTATGAAACTAGGGAGATGAGGGCAGTAGTTAACTTTGAGGAATGAGATTCAATTTTTACTGTCAAATGTCAGTTGTCAGTTCATAGAGCCAACCCCACAGAGCTGATGACTGGCCCATTGAGACCCAGGGAGTTTAAATCCGTTGCTGCAAGTCATATGCCTCGCTACTGTGCAAACTCACCAGAACTGGAACCCAGCTCTTCCCACTCGCAATAGAACACTTATTCCATTTTGACAGGACTTTCAGAAAACCCAAGCAGACTCAAGGTCTGGACCAGGTTTCTATCTCAGCCCACGATGTTCTTGAAATATGTGATCTGAGATTTGGGGTATCCTGGGCTATTTCTTAGGGCTTTATGGTCTCACAGACTAGAAAGACTCTAAGATACTCCCCTCCTTGAGCAAAGTCAAACCCCCAAGGACCTCACACTCAGCCTACTTTCTTCAGGGTTGAGCCAGGGCAGAGCTGACACAGCTGTAACATTCTAGGGCACACCCACGACTCTGGTTGAACCAGGAGAGAATGGGGTGGGAGAGGATACAAGATCAACCATTTGCCCAAGAGGCCATCTGTTGACACAGTTATAAACCCAGTAATAGTGTGAGCCAGTATCCTCTAAAACGTCTTCAAAATACGAGAATTTTGCTTTATCCTTAAGTGATTGTTTTTCGTTTTGCAGAAAAGTAAGGACTCATCATCTAGGACCGTGCCTTGAATCACAAATCAGCCCAGTGTGCATGTGGGTTTTTTCCAAGTGCGCACAAGAGTGGAACATTCTGTTTTACGAGTGTGAGATGTTTAAAATACAAATCTGCCAAGAGGCTTCCTCCGAACTGGTCTGGGACAAGCGAGGCAGGACAGGCTCAGACCTCCCGAGGGAGGGAAAGACAAGGCAAGTCGGAGCCAGGTGAACGCCCGTGGGTGAGGTCTGTGGAAGACAAAGTCAGGTCACGAGGACAGAGAGCTTTGAACATTCCGGCGCTCTACTGAGTCGGTTCCCTAATAAGCGAGAAAATGGAAATGTAGACGCACAAAAATTCCACGGCCTTTAGGCTCCGGGTGCGGGTAGGTGGCAAGGAAGCGGGGGCCCGCCGCCGCCAGAGGCTAATCTGTGGCGCGCGGCGAGCCCAGGAAAGTTCACCGACTTTGCTACAAACCTGCAGCACTGGGCCCGGACGCGAACCGGTTGGGAGCGAATTCAGAACTGGAAAATCCAGGCGGCCCCGAGAGACGACCCGCCCTCAGCCGGCTGGGCCTTCCCGGGCGAGCTCCTCCGCGCGCCCGGCCTGGGGGCGAGGGCAGGGTCCGCGCGGCGCCCCGCCCCGCCCCGCCGCCGGCCCCGCCCCGTCCCGGGGGTGAGCGAGCCGGCCCCGCCCTCGCGCCGGAGCTGGGAGGCTGCGAGAGCTGCGCCGCAGTAGCCGCGTCTGCCACCGCGGGGCCGCCCGAGCCTGCCCAGCTGCCCGCAGCCGCGCCCGGAGCCCGGCCGTAGAGAGGCTGCCGCCGCAGCCGGGAGCTCGCAGCCCGCGCCCCCAGCCCGCCGCTGCCCTCCAAGGGCGCCCCAGGCCGCGCCATGGTGAAGGTGACGTTCAACTCGGCTCTGGCCCAGAAGGAGGCCAAGAAGGACGAGCCCAAGAGCGGCGAGGAGGCGCTCATCATCCCCCCCGACGCCGTCGCGGTGGACTGCAAGGTCCGAGCCGGGGGAGAAAGGGTCCTGGGGGTGCTGGGCCCGGCCCCGGGGAGCCGCGCGGGCCGAGCGCCCTTGTGCACGCAGGTGGCGGGGCGCGGGGCCGGGGCCGCGGGGAGAGGGGCCGCGGCGAGCCGAGCGCCCCCCCTTTCTTGAGGGGCGCAGCTCCTTCTTTGTAAGGAAGTGCGTGTGCAGGAAGCGGTGCAGGACGCGGGGTCCGGGGCTTGAGAGGCCTGGAGAGTCGAGGGTTGGAGAATCGTGCCGAATTCCCTGTCGTTTGTGCAGTGCGGGGAACGTGCGTGGGGCCGGGACTTAGGTGGTTCCACCTGGGGACTGGCGGCGACAGGCAAAACAACCACCGAGTTTGGCACTTCCTTCCCAGTATAAATAATGTTCCTAAAATGGCTGACATCATCACAAGCCCAAACCTCTGTTGTTTCCTACTTTCATTTCTAGCCTGAACTGCACTTGGACGAAGTCCAGCAACTGTAAACGTCTTAATTTTAAAAGCGGTTTTTTTTTCTTTACCTGCTTTTTCCACGGCGCTTCAGTAAGTGGGAGGTCAACTTCATCATTGGGTCTGGAGAGGGGGCGAGGTGACAGTCTTCTTGGAGTAGGTTCTAGCTGTTTATTTTATAATTAAAACAAACATTCCTGGTAAAGATCAGTAATTACTATTTGGATGTTAGTGTGAAGCCAACAGTTGGCTTTTAAATTATCTCAGTCTTTGTGAGGACTCCTTATGCTAAGTGAAACTAAACAGAACAAATTTGCCCCAAGGTCCCTAATAAAATTCTTCATTTTACAGTCCCTGTTTAACCCTAAGTAAAAATCATGAGTGTAGTTAACTTTTAGTGGCTTACAATAATATTCATTTAAATATGAGTGTAATTATCTCACAAGTTAAAATAGCCCGCAGCCTCTTCCTGGCAGATCTTTGGGCTGCAAAAATTAGAAATTTTAACTGTAGAAGTTATGTTGCTTAGCTTATTTTTTCGTTAGCACTTTTCAAGAGTTATTATCAGTAGGGTAAATTTAGTTTTAACTTAAAAAAAAATCATTGTGTGCCAGGAATAAGTAATAAGAGTTTTTATATGGTCTAATTAAAATTATTACAGAAAAGCAGACCACTAATATACTATAAAAGATTTGAAAATATAATGTTAATCTGTACATGTCTGTACTTATTTTCTGGAAATGTTCTAGTTAAAAACAGAACCATCAGGGGTTGATATTTAAATGACTGCCTTGCCTTGAAATACGAACAGTGAACTGATTCCCTAAAAGGATTAAAGGTTTCGGTTTTTGTATTGTTTTCCTGAAGCTATTACAGTCTTGGTCTTAAAGAAAATGTTTGGAACGCACAGACAAAAAAATTCCAGTAGCAAATTATCTTAGTTCTTTGTTTATCTAACATTCATTGAACTATCAATAGATTGATAGTCAAGTACTCAGTCACAATAGTCTCAAATGCCATTATATATAATAGCAATCTTAATGCTGTTATATATATATTTTTTTATATTCTGTAAACAAATATAACTCCTCCCATTTAAAAAAAAAGAGCATCAGATGATGTCACTTTAGACCGTTTTTTCTTCACCGTATTGAAGATTTGCAAATCTAGATAAACATTAGAATTAAATTTGCTGAGCACCTTGAAATCTGACTTTTGACATTTTTTTGTCATTTCTGAAATGGTAACCCTGTTTTCATATTCTCAGAATTTCTCATAAGTTCACCATATTTAAATTTTGTGGTCATAGCTGCTATAAAAAGTAACTATTCATAGCTCTGTGCTTTGTTTTGCATTTCTTATTTTCTCAGATTCCTAAATCCAAAGAGAAACACTACTGGGACTAAATGAGGGCCAGAGTCTACCCTCTTTAACCACAGAGCAGTCATGGATGAATTGGTAGATACAAAATGACTAATTCTTTTTCCAGCTATAAGATAAAAGACTTCTTCAGTGGGTGTCAAAATATTTCTCTACATTAAAAGTAGATTCTTATAATCAGTAACTTAACGGGTAAAGGAAAACCTTACTTAATGACAGACATTTGTGAAAGAACTTCTGATCTCTTTATCTTAGAGCTTGGGCAGTGATTACATAATGTTCTCTGGCTCCTTAGGGGTGACTGGGTGGCAGCCACCTTGTCTGACTGCCTGGGCTGGGAACAGAATCAGCCTTGGTGTGTTTAGCCTGGGGCATTTCCTTTGCTTGCTTGGTTGAGATGATCAAACCGGGCTGGTTAATGGCCCAGAACTCCTGAACAAGAATTTTTAATATCTTTAACCCTCCTAGACCACAATATCCCATAGACCAACGTTTTTTTCAAAATGTGCTCTTAAGGAGCACCTGCTCTTGTATCATCTGGAATTCTGGTTTTAAAATGCAGATCCTGCTATCTTATGCCACAGGAATTCTGATCACTCTAGTCAGCCGGCTTATATAACATGCATTCCAGTACTTTTACATTGCTTCTGTCTTGCTCTTTGCAGAGTAAGTACCCTCTCTGGAAGCAGTTTCATTGCCCTATGTTTTGATGTTGTCTTTTCAGCAGTGATTAATACCAACAACCATTTCTGTTGATTATATTATCTCAATAGCTTGCTGTTTTTTCTTCTTTTGCTGCATTTTCACCTTCCTCCACCTGACCCTGTAGGCACAAAGCTCTTAGAAGTATAGAACCAGCAAGATGTAGGGGATCTGTTTTGTATAATAAAAGTGAATTTGAAATTATACACATGCTTTGTGTGATAAGGCAGCAGTTTATTTGTGTCCACAACTTTGAACCTTGGACAATTGTTGCATATA